ACAGATTTCTAGTTGAACAAACTTGTACAAAAGGACTTTCCTTGCCTTCAATATTAGGTTCTGTAACACTCCCATAATAGATGAGACACTCGGAGACCTGTCGTTAAATATGACTTTTTCTAACCCTCCGTGGTTTATATTCACAACCTGTCAGCAAACCTACCCTAGCTGCTTTCAACTGCAGCAGAGGCACTTGGAACAGAGGCTGTCCCTGAAGCAGGCAGCTCCTAAACCACACACAACTTCATAGATCACGATCAACTTCATCACCTAGAAGCACAGTAGAAGGCAGTGCTCTTCACACAGCGCAGGTGTAACATGCTTTGGCCAAACCGCTCCACCGAGCCAGTGAACCGTCTTGTCCCACATCATCTAAAGCAAGCCTGCACAGTATACAGCACAGAAAACATCTCCCTCAGCCTGCAACGCTGCCTGCACAAACCCATTTGTCTGGCCAGGCCTACAGACAAGATAGCAGAGCAACTACCTGGGCACCTGCTGATTCTCACCTTCTTCATCCATCAGCACGTGATGCAACTCCCTCCTCCTCCTCTCCTTGCCTTCCCCAAGTCCAAAGAGCCATCTCCCATACCAACAGGCTTTACAGCTGCAGGTTATCTACAACCCCAGCTATTGCTGCTGCCTGCAGCCCTCAGGCTGGGAGACATGCAGAACAGTGCCAGGAACTCCTCGTCAGGTCTGGGACCCAAGAACTGAGGACATAACATAGACGTACTATGACAGAGCAATGGAGGAGCCAGGAAAGCATGGAGCACCGAGGCTGGCTATTTACAGGAAAGCAAAGGACTCGAAGCAATTGAGATGTGTGGGACTTCATTAGACCAAACATCCAGACCAAAGAACATACAGTCTTCACAAACAGAGGAGTCAAACAACCCCGCTCTCTGCTTTAGTGTTATTTTCCTTTTGCCTATAAGATCATCTCCATCCTTCCCAGACAGAGCTTGAAGCTGCTTGTCTCGAGCTGCTCAGGCAAACGGAAAGCACGGAAATGATTGAAACTCAATCTAACGAGAAGACACAAACAGCATTCTGTGAACATATTGGTGGCTCCATAGCTCAACACGCTTCATAAACAGTGTCCAAGGGTCTCCGATGATGGGTAACATATGGAGTCGTAACAGAGGGGCTCAGAAAGCTTTCAGAAAGAAAGGAACAGAGCTAACAATGACAAGTTCTTTACTTTTTCTTCCTACAGACCAGCAACACCACAAAGGCAAGACTACCAAAGGCTACCGACCTACAAAATCAACACGGATGCCTAATCTTTGTCTGTCAAAAGAAACCTATCAGTCATATGTATCAATTCAGCCACCCAGTCTAATGCAGCAACTTCACTGCATGCAGGCCTAAGACTGCAATGACAACAGGCACACCAGCAAGAGCAGGGAGCGCTCCAAGGTGCCGCCTTCCCCACCATGCAGGAGCTCAGATCCAGCAGTGAGGGACCACCTGGGCATTTCTCAGGGTTAAGTAATGATTTCTACACAAAGATCTAACACCACTTCACAAGAGAAATCCTACCTGAGAAAGATAATAAAAACAACCAGTGAAATCTAAAAGCCCCGGAGAACCCTGAATCCATCCCTCTGGCACTTGTATCGGGAAGCAACAGTGATTTCCAAACTCTAGTGAACAGCACGTCAGCAAACGGCCAAGTACTGGGCGGTGGTCTGGAGAGCGCTCATCTGACGTGTGCCGATGGCTTCATCTCCCCGTTTCCAACTTCTAAATTGCAGGAAGTAAGTTTAACATGCGTTTAATATTTTTATAATACGGATTTATCACTGGAACTGCTGAAGCTGCCGCAGAGATGTTACCCAGCCTCAGATGCGAGGGAGACTATGACTGCTATGTGAATAAAACCATGAAAAACATTTCTTTCATTTGGAAACTACCATCAGAAAGGAAGCATGAAGACACCTGATCTGCTTCTACAAAACCAAAACAGAAATGACACTTTTTTTTCTGAAATGCACACTGTATGTCATGTTAAAAAGAGACATAAGTATGATTAAACGATTAAAAAACTGGGCAAGCCTCCTTAACGTCACGCAGCTTTGCACACTTGCTTATTTTTGGTTGCAGTACAGTTAATAGTATGAGCGCTTCGAGTGTCTAGGTGAGAGACAGGACAATTTCATACAACTAAGTCCTTATTTTTATTTTTCTTTGTTGAATATTTATTTGTTCATATAATACCAAAAAAAGCAAACAGGGACAGATACAAGCTGTTTTCTACTAAATCACTCAAGGTACTTCTCTAATACAATTATCTTAGCTTTTGACTTGGTGAGAAGCCTCCTCCTTCTCAGTTTTCTTTACTTTAAAATCCATCTCTGGACACTACCGTGAGCTAAGCAAAAAGGGTAAAACACCTCTGTGACAGAGCTACAACTTGATTCTGTCCCTTTATACCACAATATGAAATACCTTTCTTTGTGTGTGCATGAGATATTGCCCCCGAGCTGTTCACAAAACGATCGTTTTCTTGATCGGTTACAACTAAGCACTTTTCATCAGTTTTAATCAAAATTCACCACCATATGCAGGCAGCTTAACTCCTTTGCTGTTTAGCTTTTCACGAATCCACTCTATCACCACTTTGCTTGAAAATCTTATTTTTTCATGTTCTTAAGGCTTCCAAGTTTCAAGTGCCCAACACTTGAAGCTTCTCTCCAGCTTCTAAATCAGCCTCACCTTGTCACCTGTGCCCAAGTCTTAATCAACGCGGGGAAGTGCACATCCTTTAAGCCTCATGTCCGAAACCATACGTGTAGAGCACCCCACCGTCAACACTGGCACTAAAACTACTTACTTCAGTATTTTGCTTCGTGTTTCTACACAGCTTTTTAAATCAATTGGCGGAACATCATCCCTAATGTCACAGCAAAGTTTCTTTAACAGCTTTTTGTCCGCACGGGTGGTTTTGGGGAAGATCTGCAGTTGACCCAGGGCCTACTTGGGCATCTGTGAACCACAACGGCAGCAGGCAGTGCCTCCTGCCTTCACCTCCTCCACCAACTATTTTGAGGCAATCATTGGAGCTGGGTAAAATGAAAGAGTTACAGTTTAAGCTTACTGAGTATCTGTTACAAAAAGCGCTCACTCAGGTGATTTACTGGATTTTAATTTCACTTTTTACACTTTTATCACTCAATGAAGAATTGCTGCAAAGCCGGTAACACTCCATCATCCTCCTCCGTAAACCCCCATGCAAGGAAAACCTGCCCGCACAGCTGCCCTCCGCTTCCACCGTCCCCTCCATCAAGTGACCCTCCGGTAGCACCGTGCAGAGCGTCCCGGCCAGGCGGGTGTCTCGCCGGTGCAGTCCACGGCTGGTTCACTCTTTGAACCTCCCCTGGCCGACAGCCTCTCAGAGACCCCCGCCTCTCCAGCATCTCCCGGCCACGGTCTGAAGGCCGCCGCCGTGCCGCACCTTCCCCTTCGCCCCCGCCCCCGCCCTCCCGGGACCCTCAGCCTGCCCGCAGGTCGGTGCTGAAGCGACTTCCCGCGTAATTCGGTGAATTTTAATGTTCTCGTCTTTTCAGTTCTCGGCTTTCCAGTCACCAGCTTCCCCATTTCTCACAGAGGAGGAAAACAGTAATACAGGCTCCTGAAGTTGCGCCCGGCTGCCGTAACTCGCGCGCGGCCACCCTCCCACTGTCTGCCCCCCCACCT